TCATTATAAACAATTATTTTAATTCATATTTTTACGAATTATTCCCAGTTATTCCAATGTTATTGTAATTTTATCATAAACCCAAAATGATACCGCTTTTACTCATTTTGAGTCTTTTCCCCAGAAACTCAGAATGAGTCGAAGGGGTATCATTTTTGTTGCACTTCAAAATGAGTATCATATGCTATTCACTAGCTGCGATACCCGTCTTCGACGGGTTATTAGTTATTGTTATTCCTACTTATATATTAATAGCTACGATACCCGTCTTCGACGTGTTTCTTAGTATTTTAAAAGTTTTCCATATTGAGTATTGATTAGTATTTAACCAACTACATTTAAACTAATTTTCTTGATGATTATTAATATTAATTAATGAAGAAGAAAACGAAATTTTAAGGAAAGTAAAAAGATAATGTTTAGAATTTTTAAAATCGCCCTAAGTGTGAAAACCATCATGGCTTAATAACGGCCCAGTACTGGCAAAGTTGTCACCTATAGTCTTGGCCGATATTATTGGGACGACTCTTGTGGTGTTAATTACGGTTGGACGTCGGCAGACGTTAATGGCCCAATATTGACTGCCATTACTCACCCAGTATTAGCAAAATACAAAAACTAATATAAATTATTACATTTTTTATTAATTAACTAATTAATTTATCATATTTATACGTCTTTTATTTCACTTTGCTACTCTGACGTGAAGTCAAGAAAGCTTTATGGTTTTATAAGCTACACTATTTATCGATATTGTGATATTATTATGGCGAGGTACGTCCCAATATTGGCAATTGTATTTTGCCATCATAGCAGATACAAAATTTTTGCTATTAATGTGCCATTACTGAGTCGAGCAACGTCCCAATATTCTGAAACTGAAATTACCAACGTTTATTCGACGAAAATTTTTACTATAGCTAATTGCTTATTTTAATTTTAACAGCCCTTTAAAAAAATTACGAAAGGATCACGGATTTCGCAAAATTCCTGGAAATTCAACTAAATTATTGTTTTCTCGCCTCGCAAGCATTTTTTTCTCTTAATAATCAGAAGCCATTTAAAAAAATTGCAAGAGGATTCAAGGCGAGGAAAGTAGTGATTTTTATTTTTTGTCACGGATTTCCCAAAAATCCCAGAATTCAGTTTTATTCAATACTTTCAATTACAACTTGCCATCATAGATAGAAAAGTTTATCCTAATAATCTGATAATAATGTACCAATATTGGTCCGTGCTAAGTGCCGTTACCAGCAATGAGACGTTTTGTATGCTAGTATATAGGCCCAGTAATTTTTGCCAGTTTTCTGCAGACATTCACTGAAAAAATTACATTCTAATTCTAAGAAAATCTTCTTAAATATGCGCCAAGAATATTCCCCCACTTAGATTATGTGGAAAATATTCTTACAATAAGAAGAAAATTAGTATTGTAAGAATATTTCCCACTTAATTTAAGTAGGGAATATTCTTGGCGCATATTTAAGAAGTTTTTCTTAAAATTAGAATGTAATTTTTTCAGTGTTGACGGGCCCGTTTTGCAGTCTTGGAATTTCACACTTGGAGCTTATAAAAAACCATTTATTAGCTTTTTTCCGAGAAGCACCACGTGGAGGTAACCACTATTAGTTGTTTTTGGCAAGTTTTTAAATCCCGTGCAGAAATTGCCCTAACAGGGCCCTGACCCCGCATGAAACCGGGAACCCGACCGGGACCCGACCTGGCAGCTCGTCAAATCAGGCTTTGCGCCATGGCGCCGGCCGGGTTCCTTGTTTCACCCAGGTCTGGACCCGGCCAGGCCCCTGTCAAAATTTCTACTCGGGATTATTTTCCAGGAGCTTAGTAAAACTAAAAAAATTCTTGTTAATTAAATTTGATAAAAGATATGAAACATTTTCATTTCAGTATTACTAAATTATCTTGGATCATAATTTGTAAAAACAAAAAACATCTTATTTAAAAGTAATAAGTAGGTAAAATAAAAAAAATTAGATATTAATATTTTCAATTTTTATGGGTAAAAACCCAGGCGGAAATTTCCAACCGGCGCGGATCCTAGCCCGTACTGACGCCGGTGTAACTGTACTGGCTCGGAATCGCCTGCCAACCGAATGTGAACGGGCATTCTACCGAATAGTGACTAAACCAGGAGCGCGCTGGCAACCGGCTCGGAACTGGCATTCTACCGCCCGCTGACCGGCCGGGAGAAGCCGTTCCGTGTATAATTCAACCGGCTGGGACCTGGCACTCTACCGACCGTGGATTTTTCATTTAATAGCCAGCTGAGCGCTGGCATTCTACCGACTGACAACCGGGTCGGATCCAAATGATAATTTCAACAAATATTAATACAAAAAATAATAATTAATTGCAAAAGATAAATACTGATGACAATTCATTGACAGTTCACTTTACACATTTTTTTAATTTTTTTATACACTTAAACGTAATTTTTTATTACATACACATTTGAAAAATCCTAACGCTTGGAGGTACGAACCTACGCCTAACCGAATATTTACGCACTGAAATCTCGCACGCTAACCACTATGCTACGCTCGCATGGGACTCTCAAATCTTAAATACTCTCAAGTGTCACTAGCTCAAATAAAACTTGCAGAATTACTACGCGTCAATGATACCGCTATATTTTCAATACTTTATTGAATGTATATTTAGGACTATTTCAATATTTCGTTAAAAAAGAAACTTGTTATATTTTTATTATTATATAATACATATATTGAATAATTGTTTTTCAATATAATAATATTGAACGTAATAATATTAATAATTTTAATTAATATCTCAATAATAATAAATTTATTATTATTAAGATATTAATTAAAATTATTACACAGAAAAAAATGCGAATGGTAAAAACAACCACATTTGTGTAGTTAGAAAAAAAGTAGTTAAAACTACCATATTTAGCAGCATTTTAACTACACTTCCTTAGTTAGTGGAACCAAAATGAAGTAGTTGGTTTTATGTAGTTAAAATAACTACTTTACGTAGTTGAAATAACTAACAGATGCTTGTAAATGGCTCAACTATAGTGTAGTAGTAAAAACTATTGTTAAAAATAGTTAATTTTACTATTGTGGTAGCAAAAATAAGTTATTTTGTATTAGTTGCAAACAAAATGAGACTTACTGTTTTTATATAGTAAATACAATCTCTGAAAGTTGTTACTTTTATGATTTATGTAGTTAAAACAACTATTTCTTACTAGTTGCAGAGAAAGAAAGAAATTTACTGTTTTCATATAGTAAAATGAATTGTTGAAAATAGTTATTTTTACTATTTATGCAGTTGAAAAGATCATTTTTTTCTGCAGAGAAAAAACGTGAGTGGTAAAAACATCCACATATGTGCAGTTAAAAAAATATAGTTAAAACTACCATATTCAGCAGAATTTTAACTAAACTTCCATAGTTAGTGGAACTAAAATTGAATAGTAGGTTTTATGTAGTTAAAATTACTACTACACGTTATGATTGTGAATAACTCAACAATAGTGCAGTAGTTAAAAATACTGTTAAAAATAGTTATTTTCGGAATTTCTGTAGTAGAAATATCCATTTCTTGCTATTTGCAAAATAAATTAAAACTTACTGTTCCAAAGAGTAAAAACAACCGCTGGAATTTGTTATTTTTATGTTTAATGTAGTTAAAAGAACCAATTCTTACTAGCTTTTGATAATTTATCTCTATGGTGGTAAGAAACATTTATTTTTATAACTACAAAAGTCATAAAAGTAACAATTTTTATGTTATTTTTACTATATGAAAATAGTAAGTTTAATTTTTTTATAACTAGTAAAAAGTGGATAATCTTACTACAGAAATTCTGAAAATAACTATTTTCAACAGTACTTTTAACTACTGCACTATCGTTGAGTCATTTAAAATCATATGTTGGCTACATTTCAACTAAGTCTTTGAGCTTAAAAAATTAGTTACTGCAACTAAACGGAGTAGTTATTATGACTGAGTCTAAGAAGAATGTCCTCAAGTACAATGCCAGTCATCGTAGCGTGCGAGCGTGGTTAGGTGGTTAGGTTATCGGTTTGCGAATGTTAGGGTCGAGCGTTCAATCCCCGGCGTTTGGGGATTTTTCTCTGTTAGGTGTATAAGAATTTAATATATAAATTATATATGAACAAAAATAGGTAAGAGAAAATATAAAAAAATGGACCTCAATAATAATAAAAAACAAATAAATAATTTCATTTTACTACTTTAAATAGTTAATTTAACTATTTTTTACAGTTGTTACAACTACAATTTGTTACGGGCGCCTATAGGAACTATGAAAATTTAGTTACTGCAACTAAATGAAGCAGTTAGTATGACTAACAGCAAATAGTTAAGATAACTGTTTTAGTAGTTAAATTTACTGTAAAAATGGTATTTATTACTAGATTTTACAGTTAGACTAACTATTCTGTCATAGTTCATTTTACTAAATAATGTTACGGGCGCCTATAGGTACTACAGGAAATAGTAAAAAAGTAGTCAAATTTACCATATTTTTTTTTGTGTGTACTAACGATTATTATTCTTTGACAATGTTTACATACACTTATTAGAAATTTAAATAGAACTCTTGATTTTTTTTTCTAAAATTTGTTTTTCTCTTAACTAATATGACATATTACGCATTAAAGTTTAATTTAGGTCAACAATTAATCAACTTTTTGTAGCCGATATCAAGTCTGTCGTTGACATGCGAGACGTTGAAATTTAATGTAGTGGAAAGTGGATGGCTTAAATTTCAATACGACAAATTATTCCACATTTACATTTCCATATTGGGAAAATGAGTAAATTTTTTTCTCTATTAGTACATTAATAAAGCTGTTTTTTAGAAACAAAGAACGTTATTAATGAAAAAATTCACCTTTATTAGTATATAAATAAAAAAACAGTTTTAAACAAATGTGAAAATGAACACAAATAAAAATTATTGATTGTTGACAATTTTCTGATTTCAGATGATTATAACAGGGTGGTACTTGATTCAATACCAGGAGAACCTGATTCGGATTATATAAATGCATCGTACGTCGATGTGAGCACAAATGTGAAAAAATTAGCTTGCATGTCTTGGTATCATAAATAATTTAAAATAGAATATATTTTTCATGCAGCACACGACAACTTATATTAAATGATTGTTTGCAGAGTTTATTGAAGCCTAATGCATACATTGTGACTCAGGGACCCACGGAACATACAGTAACTGAATTTTGGCGTATGGTATGGCAGGAGAAGGCATCCTGCATTGTCATGCTCACAAAAACATTCGACTTCATCAAGGTATATTTATATGTATATAAAAACCAATTCATTTTCTGCATTTCAAATCCATTCTCGTTTAAAATATTAGAAAAAAATGCCCATGCTCTGATTGAAGATAAAATAAAACGTTGGCGAGAAAACGAACAGCATATGAAAAAAAAGAAAATACTGCCGGTGACGGTTTATCGTTTAATTAATTAATTTCTAATAAATAAATAATTATTATTAATTCGTGATTATTTGTAAAAAGTCGAGAAGTCTTAGTATGGAAATTGAAAGATACGATTAAGATATGTGTTTTTCTTTAAAATTGTGACTCAGTGAGAGAAACTTTTTAATTTTTATAAAGATGAATCTAATTGAAAGGAATAATTTCCAGACGCGGGAAACTTTGTGACTGCGCTTTTTTGCTTCTTATTTGAAAGTGAGTAAACATTAATTTCACTTAGTAATATGTTATTGAGAAACTGGAAGATCAAGAGCAGGTACACGCGGTGGTGAATTCATGAAAGCTTGCAGGTCAATTGCTATAAACACGCAACTTCTATCTCAAACAGAAACTTGTTCAGAAGTAATTATACTTCACGTCTCAGATATGATGTTTCAAAAATTCCAGTCACTATCTGTGACAAACATATATCTTTATTAAAATTTCACGTCAACTTGTCAAGTCTGTAATAGTTAATTTAATCATCTCCATAAACCGTGTTATGTAAATCCAGATGAATTGAAAACAAATTAAAAAATTAATTAAATCCATTCCGTCAATTGATGTTATTTTATATTTTTTCTTATTAAATTCGCATTCAGTTGTAATAACTCATTTAAAAGTTTGTTTACTTTTATAAATGTCAAACTTCCTTTCAGAAAACAAATGTAGATAGTTGCTCCCTTGACTAGAATAAAATTTGTTGCGGACACTTTTTACATTAATTTCAGAATAAAAAATTAATTATTTACCTATCTTTGGTTAAACACCGATTATTATTCATATTAAGAATAAAACTATTATGTAAGTAATAAAATAGAATAAACAACACCACAAAATAGTCAAAATCATTTTCAGCGCACTAATCATAACTACATCGACACTATAAACAGTTTTGATATATTCATTTCTCTTTTATCTTTTATTTGTGACCAAGGTACCCGGGATGTCCGGGAGTCAGTTGACCATGACCTTCAGGGAATTTTGGTTTCCTTAGAATAATCATATCTCTACATTAACGCTAAAATATCCCCGGATGTCCAGGATTCAGTTGATCATCATCGTCAGGAAATTCAGGTTTCCATCGGAGTATGATTATGCGATGGAAACCAAAATTCCCTGAAGATGATGACCAACTGACTCCTAGGCATCCGGGTGTACCTTGGCGTCAACGCGTCCCTGATGAAGCAAAATTTAGCTAATTTTGAAAAAATAACACCAAAATGGATTATTATTTTAATCTTTTCTGATGTTAATTTAATCTGCAACGCTTTTTAATACCTCACAATTTACTGTGTTGTTTTTAAAAACGTTGTGAACTTAAGCCTCATACATTCCTTTAATCGTTACGATTTAAATTATTAAAAAAAAAATTTTTAATTATTAAAAATTCATGTATATAGTAAAAAGGAGTATTTAAATTTAAAAAATATAAAAAGAGTAAAGAAAATCTTTTTTACATAATAAAAAATGTTAATACAAGAAAATTACATTTTTAACACAAATATTTTACGAATAAAATGAATAACTTTTGTTGCAAATTGTCCTTTTATTCTCTAAAAGCGATGTATGCAATTTTTCCATTTAAATTAGATTTACCGTCTTCGAAGCAAGATTTTCAGAAGGGATTCAATTTTTCCACTCAATATCCCTGCAATCAAGTGTCCCACTATAGTGGATTCACATCTGCATCACGTGGTTGCACTTTCATCTATACGGAACATTGCGCAATTGACGCATGTAGTGCATGCTCGATATTTTATAAAAATAAAACAAGAAACGTAGTGATATTTTTGCAAAACAGAATTTATAGTCAATTTTATGTTATTAAATATATTCTAAATATATTCTTAGAGTAATTTTCATTCTTCCCAATCAATCTGATTTTTTCTATTTTTTAAAGAGAGAGAAATAATTTTCTAATTAATAAAACATTTTTTCGTGTACACTTTAAGAAACAAGGAGAGAGAAATTTTTTTACATTTCTTCGGTGTGTTAAATAGATTTCTAAAAAATTGATTCAAAAACATCCAGTTGACTAACATTTATTTATATATCAAAACTATTCCTACACGAACAATCTTTGTTCAAGAGTTATTCTAGAATTTATTCAAGAATTGAGGATAAGAAAAAAAAATTTAATGCTGCAGAACCGAAGGTTGAAATATTATATTAAGCTTTTCGAGAAGAACTGTACTTAATTTCTGGACAACTTGTTGAATTTTCATGAAGAATTACAGAACTGATTTAAAAATCGAAAAATATGAACTTAAGGAAAAAAATTTGCCTGCGTAAGTAATCGAACTTGAGACTTCGGCGTGCGTGACTGAGATATTCAGTCGCGGCGTCAAGAACAAATAATTTCGAAACCGTTTCAAAAACACCTGAAAATTCTTTAATGAATATTGAATTTTTCTGAAAGAATTATCCAATTTTTCCCGTATCCTCAATTCTTGAATAAATTCAGGAACAACAAAGATTTTCCGTGTAGTCGCAGAAGAGTCGCCTTAATTGCAAATTACAATCGTTAGTTTCTAGTGTGGGAATGTGATTTATTCTTCTTATCTGCATTTAAGATTTATACGACTTCATTTGTTTCCTTAATGCGACAAAGAAGAGTTTTGCAGTTGAGAGAAAGCGTTAGGAATATTGGGCGGAACATTATTTTTAGTCTAGTATAAGAGAGTAGCAGTGAAACCTGGCAACCAAGCGTTATTTTTCATTAAGGATAGTCAACGACATTCCCAGATTAAGAAAAGTGGCAAAACGTAGTTAACTGCAGTTTCCATTTCGAAATTTTTGCACGAAATTTTCTTCATTTTTCTATTTTATTTTTTTTTGTAAATCCATTGCTTAGAATAGTAAAATTTTACTAATTTTTAGTAGTTTTCATGGAAGACTTTTCCCCTTTTCAATTAGTAGAATATTACTAAGTTTTAGTAATATATTATTAATGTTTTAGTAGTTTTCACTAATTAAAAGTCACTTTTTCACTAAATGAATTAGTGAAACTGTTTTATCGATTAATAATAAAACATTTCTACTAATTGTTAGTAGAATTCTACTAAGTAATTAGTAAAATCTACTAATAATTAGTAAAATTCCACTATTTGTTAGTAAAATTATTATTAAATCATTTGGTGGAATACTTTTCGTCATTTCATTAGTAAGTTTCTACTAATTCAGATTTAGAGAGTGCAAGAGCAAAAGCGATGAGAAATGTAAAATTAAGCGAAGTCATGATGAAGCGAAGTTCTACGAATTGCAGTGACACCGATTTTAGAATTCTTGGGTTCATTAATGCTTACTCCGACCACTCTCTTACATTAGTTTCACACACCCTTATGATTGAAGAAAATTCTTACACATTGGTTATTTCAGATTCCTTATTTTTATTCTTACCCTTTTGGATTGAATTATGACTCAAAATATATATATATAAATGTGTCATTTTTGTTACTGCTCTAAATGAGTCAATGTTAAACATCAAAGAACGTGGCGCTACCAAAGAGTCTCATTTTTGTTGCAACGCGAAGAAAATTTACTCCTGATATTTTACTATATTTAGTTCTGTAAAACTGGAATGAAAGTCCAAAACAGTAGTTTTTCAAGAACTACCTCTCTATATCTGAAAAAGCGATATACCACAGGTTCCACTTAGCGTATATACGTTGTTAATTAGTGAAATTTCACCAAAATATCAGTAAAATTTCACTGATTCTTGAGCGCATATACCTATACGCTAATTGATACTTGCGGTATACTTATCGCTGAGAATCAGTAAAATTTCGCTAATTCCGACTTAGAGAGGGTGCTGTAAAAGCAATTTAATTAAATGATAATGACACACGGAAAAAAATTAATCTCTAAACTTGAAATAATATTAATTTGAAGTCCAATGAAATATAAGTGTATCTAAATTAAACATTATAGTCACAATTACTGTGATAAGTTGTGTTTGATTCTGTCAAACTTTATACCAGAAAACGCCATAAATTCACATCTCTGATTTAGAGATTTGTTAATTTCACAACTTTTTTTATATGAATTAGGTACATTGTGTTTTAAGTTAATCAGTGACAAAAAAGATTTAAACCGTTTTAATTAATTAAGTATTAATTTTATTTTCAAATATCCAAATAAAAGGGAAGGTCTGTGAAGGAAGGTCTGTGAAATTTTAAGGTTACAATTGTCGCCCGACAAAATACGGCACTGACTGATTTAAATGACGTGAAATAGGTAAATAAACATTTTTCAACCACTTTTTCTCTAAACACAGACACTTTTTACAAAATAGGCCAACATACAATGGGTAAGAATCTTCTTAATAACCTGAATTCAAAAGATTGTTTAAATTCATGCAGAAACGCGGTTGTCAAATGTAAAATTGGAAATGATTGGAAAGTAATGTAATAACAGACAACAAGAAGCGGATTACTGCCAGTCGCCAGAAGAGGGCAGAAGCATGCAGAGAGCACAATGGTCCAGCTGTTATATTCTTAGCATTACATCACTTTCCAATTTTACATTTTACAACCGCGTTTCTGCATGAATTTAAACCATCTTTTGAATTTAGGTAATTAAGAAGATTCCTACTCGTTATATGTTGGCATATTTTGTAAAAAGTGTCTGTGTTTAGAGAAAAAGTGGTTGAAAAATGTTTATTTACCTATTTCACGTCATTTAAATCAGTCAGTGTCGTATTTTGTCGGGCGATAATTGTAACCTACAAATTTTACAGACCTTCCAACGCCGTTAAAACAAAAAATGAAATAAAAATATAAAATTCGTATTGTGTTTTAAAAATATC